TGCCGAAGCATATGCTCCTCTCAGCGGACAGATACCTGACAGGGCAAGTTGTGCCGGGCTCGAGAGTTATTGTTACCGGCATATACTCGACCTTCCAAGCTGCGCGGGATGTAGGTCCTTGATCCCTTGCATATGCATAACTTCTAACGTCATACTAGAAATCTGCTGGTGCTGCAGCTACTCGAAAGCCATACCTCCGTGTCGTCCACCTCGAAATGTCTTCCCCTTCTGCCGCTGGTTCAGGTGGTTCCAACCCTTTTGGTGTTCAGTTCTCCCCAGAGGAGGAAGAGGAGTTTAATGAAATGGCGCGGAGTGAGGGTTTTTACGAACGATTTGCTAAGAGCGTTGGGCCCAGCATCTACGGGAGTGTTGGTATGTTGCAACCTATAGTCTTGAAAGCTCTCATATACCAATGCCATGGCAGACATCAAAAAGGCCATCACCTGCCTCTTATTCGGAGGGTCAAAGAAAGTTCTACCAGACGGTATGCGACTTCGTGGTGACATAAATGTTTTGCTTCTTGGCGATCCTGGTACTGCAAAAAGCCAACTGCTCAAGTTTGTGGAAAAGGTGGCACCCATCGCTGTATACACATCTGGAAAGGGCTCTAGTGCTGCTGGTCTGACAGCTTCGGTACAAAGAGATACAGTTTCGGTGCGTACCTTCTTGCTATCCCAAAGTTTGGCTGATAGAGTAACGACGGTGTAGAGAGAATTTTATCTCGAAGGAGGTGCTATGGTCCTCGCAGATACAGGAGTCGTGTGTATAGATGAGTTTGACAAAATGCGGGATGAGGATCGCGTTGCAATCCACGAAGCCATGGAACAACAAACCATATCTATCGCCAAGGCCGGAATCACCACGGTGCTGAACACACGTACCAGTGTCCTTGCGGCGGCTAATCCAGTATTCGGTCGTTACGACGAAGGACGCAGTCCGGGCGAGGTGTGTTTCTTCCTTAGACATGAGATCGAGCTGGAATATTTCTCTGCAGAACATTGATTTCCAAACTACTATCCTTTCTCGATTCGATATGATCTTCATTGTGAAAGATGAACATGACGAGACAAGAGATAAGGTAGGCTCGAATGTTGCGTTAATCCATCTAGTTCTCATATATGTTCTGCAGACTATCGCGAAGCACGTCCTGAATGTTCACATGAACAGACCTAATAACCTCACAGACGAGAATGGTGAAGGAGAATTACCTTTGGACAAAATGAAGCGATATATTGCCTATTGCAAACAGTAAGATATCTTGTCTGCTTATCTGTGTTATCATTGAAACCTTTGCAGGAAATGTGCCCCCCGATTATCTCCCGAAGCCCAAGAGATGCTCAGCAGTCATTTCGTTAGTCTACGGAAACAGGTCCAGCAGGTGGAACAAGATAATGACGAGCGAAGCTCTATACCTATCACCGTCCGTCAACTTGAAGCCATAATCCGTATATCAGAGTCCTTGGCGAAGATGACACTCGCACCTGTGGTGCAAAACCATCACGTAGAAGAGGCTATACGGCTGTTCAAGTTCTCTACCATGGATGCTGTGTCCGCAGGTTCTGCCGATGGCCTTTCGCGAGGAGGTCTAAATGAAGAGATGACGCGTATAGAGAAGGAGCTGAGGAGACGTCTACCTGTCGGGTGGCGAACTAGTTATCAGAGTCTCATTAAGGAGTTCGTCACGCAGCAGGGGTACTCCAGCCATGCGCTTGAGAGGACGCTGTATATCCTTGAGAAGCGGGAGGTCATACGGTTTTCTGGACAGGTAAGTGTCAAACATTGCTGTTCATATTAGGTCTAACAGGTTTCTTCGTGTTCACAGAAAAAGGTTGTCCATAGGTGCGTAGCGTTATTATCTTTTCATTCTTGATACTGATCTTGCTTCGTACAGGGTTGGAGTATAACTTGATGTTGTGGCTGATCAAGTAGATCTGGGGTATAGTTAATTTATTTCTTGTGTACTATTTGTGTTATTTTGTATCGCACTACGGACTCAGTTGGCACAGTTCTGAACAATAACCCGGTCCTTTCTGTAGTATTCAACAGTAGTCGCCGCTGGTTATTAGGACCCGAGAGCACCAACAGAAACCGACTCTTAAAAACTACATCGTGTCGAAGAGCGTAATGCAAAATCTGACTTGTAACGACATGTTCTGAATGTTCGGCAGAAAAGGAGCTTTATGTTACGGGATCTCATCACGGCAACGTATCACTGAGTGAACAACAATAAGATATCTCAGGTTGTTAGGAAGCCTATTCAACCAAAAACCTTCGTCAAGTTTCAGAATTGTAAATGCAAGGATTCGCGAATGAAGCCCGAAGTCGGTAAAAAGAAAATACCAACTTACTCCCTGCCAGGGAGCCGTACTCAGAGAGCGAGGTTGAACAACGCTGGCTAAACGCGATGAACCGCAGACTGAAGACAGACTGTCTGTTGACCGACAGGAAAAAATTCAACACGAAGGCAATTCCGACGACTATAGTTCTCAGAACATGGCAGGGCGCACTAATAGACGAAAATCTCCTCCCTGAGAACTGGATAAAAGAAGCCGGGGTTTTAGTGGGTATGGTCAAGTAAGTGATGAAGGTTAGTGCCACGCACTATCTGGAACTTACCTGGTCGAGCCCCACACGGGACATTACCGGAGTCTGTGTGTAACAGCATTTCCTCGCGTGGTTAGATTAACGAGCGGTGCCTTCACAAAATTTCACAAAATCTAGGGCTTACAGCTATAGCTGTATCCCTGCGATACTTCGTTCCTTCGGGGTCAGGAGACCCTGACTCACTAACGGGCCGAGCACAACGTCATTGGCGTGTCCGTCCACTGGCTGGAGGGACCCCCGCAGTGTGGGGTGAGCTAATACAAACGTTTCACAAAAAAAAACTTACTCCCTGCCAAATTTTAACAGCTCACCCTCTCATCATCACCCATACAATGCTGAGCGCCAACCCCTTACAGCCAGGTTGAACTTGACATTCTGAGGACAGTGGAGGGGCTCAAACTTCATGCATGATGAATATGTAACGATGTTACTACAACAAGCTAAAAGTAACAAGTTGCAAAAGTATTCTAGCCCACCGCGAGGGTCGAACTCGCAGCCTTCAGATCCGCCTAGAAGTCATAAGAGTCTGACGCTCTATCCGATTGAGCTAGGCAGGCCACACAGAGTACAAGTTATAGATATACTTCAGAATAATAGAGACAAGACATTGAAGTATGGTTCTTACGTCTCAAACCCTCATTATCATTGACGACGATGAGCGCCATGGATACAGACGAAATCTCGGTGGTACTCCCATCCACAACGACATCGGGTCTATCGATATCTTTGTAAAGGCGATTTTGACTTACACACTCATTCATTGACCTTGTCTGTTAGGCATCCCTTACCGATTCTGAATATTTCTGAACATTTGACGCGACGGAAACTGCAAACAAACACCTCTACTCCGTTCAGTGAGTCGTATGACTCGTCTCGATGTTGCGGGAATATACTCGAACTTTGTTGCAGTCCTTGGAGCTCTGCTGGGCACTCAGAATGGGAGAGATGTGGAGATCGTGAATACCTTTGAATTGGCTGTGGAAGAGGATGGTGCTACAGTGGATCATTCTTTCTTGGTATCGCGGCGTGACCAGTGTACGTTCTCATTTAACAGCATGCATCGTTGATCGAATACATAGTGTGTTATAGACAAGCAAGTCTTTCCCTCCTTGGAATTCATCGGCTGGTACACAGTGGCTCCCGGACCATCTTCGCGTCATATCGCACTTCATTCACAAGTACGTAAATTGATCCTTCGGCTTGCACTTATCTTACCAAGGTATTAGTTCACAGGATACTGCTCAACGCCTCTCCTCCTACTCCTTCAATCTTCGAGTAATATTTCCACAGGTTCCGATGGGAATCAAACACTTCCTTTCAAAGCCTATGAGCCAACGATCGAGATTAGGGATCGTCTGTCTCGTCCGGTCTTCGTTGAGGCGTCGTACAATGTAGAGACAGGTGAAGCCGAACGGATCGCTGTCGACTGGACTGCACGCGGTGGCGGTAGTGGCACGAGTTGTATGTTTTTCTTCCCTATCTCAGCTCTCTAATATTGAAATCCTCTATAGTGGAATCGCATCTACAAACGCAACGAGCGGCCGTCAAAATGCTCCATGACAGAATTGTCATTTTGGTTCATTATGTTACAGAAGCTTTAGCAGGTAGGGTGATTTTCGTTGGTGCTTTCTCTTATTGAGTGCATTCCTACCTAGGCACAGCGCCTAAGGATCAAGCTATCCTTCGATCCATCTCAGCATTAGTAGCCTCACTGCCTGCAACAGAAAATAAAGTATTCCGCGACGAATTTGATACGGTTGGAGATTCTGCTATGTTCTGCCTTTATGTCACTGATAGTAAGATTGGAATAGGAATATGAAGATGTGCAGATCACAGCTTTCCTGTCATCTCTGACCAAATCTACCAGCATTTTGAATGATGTGCGTCCCACATCGTGCTTCACCGATCCTAGTCTGAATGACCTTTTGGATTTTAGCTTGTTGATAAACACCTCGTAATCACAGCTAGTCGAGAGGATAAGATGGGGGCCCGGCGAAGACCTATGGGCAGAATGCCGATAGCGGAGTGGCATTGAGCTCAGTTAGACTCGTAGAAACCATTGTCACAGGCATCGCTGTTACGACTTCTCTGAATTGCAAAGTTGCATCGTTACACCGAGCAGGACATATGTGTGTTCCCTGGGGAATGCTGGTGGTGTCGTTGAAATTGAAGTTTACAGGTTCCTGGGTGCAAGTGAGGTCTTCGATGACAGGCCTTTCCAAATTGGAAGGCTCCATGGATAGAGATATAGTCATGTAATGAATTCAATAGGGACTGGGCTAGGAAACTGGAAAGAATTTGTGCCCGTACATTGTAGCGTACGAGAGGCGAAAGAAAAGTCTGCCTACATCAGACTCCCTACGGCTACTAGCTTTTGGATAAAGACTCCTCGACATGGCCGTCTGGCGAAATGGCATCGCGTCTGACTACGATTTGGGTCTTAATCCCGAGGTGTGATCAGGAGATTGTAGGTTCGACCCCTACGTCGGTCATTTTTTTCCACTTTTGAAGACTGCTTTCATTTTGTGCATGTAATATCATCCTAATGTGTATTTACCTCCATGGAAACTTTCCAGTGAGAGGTAAGTTCGGTCACTAACTGGTGGGTCACCGGTGTATAAAAGCGCGTGATGAGTAACCACATCCGGCAATCATTGGCTTTCGCCACTACCACCACGATGCGTCAAGGCCGTCATGACGAGCACAGCACCAAGGAGTATCATAGAAATGGTGAGATGTTTTATGTTTTATGTATGATGAGTGCTCATATCCGACCTGATGAACCTTTGCGCATGACCCTCGACGTTATTTACCTGGCAATCCTACATGCGCAAAGAACGCTCCCGCTCCAGGTCTCTAGGAAGAGATAAGGAAAGACGATATTATACATCGGATGACGACGCACATGCTACGCACTCTCGACATCAACTACGAGGCGAAGGCAGTCAACGCAGATATGCCGTATCAGCGAAGTCTTCCGAAGGTGACCGTAACATGAGAGGTCGAGACCGGTATTCCAAAGATATATCTAAGCATCATAGAGACTCTTCCGTGAGCATGTGCAAGCTCGTTTCTTCCGTGTGGATTCTGACGCACCCTTGTCAAGCGGGCGTCTAACCGAGCTGTGCGTCATTTTCCTACCAGCTCACGCGGAGAAACATTGTTTTGACCTTCAAAGTGGAAACATTTGTCATTATAGGAGCATGAACATCGTCGACGCAGTCACTCATCTGAATCATACTCTTCTTTCTCGAGTGACAACCACAAGAAACGCAGGCGTAGTTCACGCTCTAGGTCACCTCGTCGAAAGAAGGATAAGGATTCGCGCAAGCACAGGGACAGAGACTATGAAAAGGACAAGAAAAAAGGGAAAAGCAAAGAAAAGGATAGAAAAAAGGACAAAGACAAGGAGGAACGGAGAAGTGTCTTAACAGGCAAAAAGGTTTTTCCTTTATTCTTCTTAGCGCCCGTCCGATCTCATTCTTGTTTCCTAGATCAAGTTGAAAGTCAGAAAAGAGAAGGGGGACGACGAACGGGAAGCTAATAGGAAGGATCTTCTACAGTTTTTGAACTCGACGTTCGAATGAACCATACACATAATTAGTATGTTATCTAGATATCTACAGTAACCATACGGTACTATCTAAGCGTCTCTTTGCGTTATGCATCAAATAAAGTCCTACAAACGGGTATCGAAAGAATTATGCAACAAAGAATAGATTAGAATGTCCTCCCAATAGATGTTACAAATGATGAATAAAATCTAGTCGTTAGTTTGCCTTTCCTAACTAAGTTCTTCCTGAAAAAAGAAGCATGGCATATGAAAGTAAAAAAAACCATGGCAAGCAAGACATCAAACCTTTAGGTTCTTTTGCACCATTATAAGTGATGATGATCGCCTTATATTTGTCTTGATCTTCTTCCAAAGCCCGCGTTGTGGCGGCGAAGTAGATATGTCCAGTTTGGACTTGACGGGCACCGACGACGGCGGTATGATAGCGGTGAAGATAGGTGGAGATATCTCTTTGACTGGCTGGCTAGTCTTCGGTTCCGCGTCCCCATGAACAAACAACGGGGACGTAGAAAGCCCGATCTCGGGAGAGGTGCTGGTACTGCCACCTTGGAAATCCGATCCGGAGTGCGAAGAAGACGCGGGAGATTGTACCAAATCGCTTTCGAGTTCTGGTTCGTCTTCTACGAGCACCGGACGCTCTGGTTCGTCCGCACCAGAGTGACTGCTTCTTCTGCTGCTTCTCCCGCTTTCTCGATCCCCTTCATCCTCCATTTCGAAAACTACATTGCCTCCTTGGTTATCTGACTCATCGAGCAGATAACGGCGCGGAACACCTCCAAGAGAGTGGACGGTAGTGGCAAAATCCCAAGAATCAATAGAACGATGAGTTTGGGAGCTTGAGATTACCCGACGTTCTTGCCGATGGGCCAGAGGCGGTAGATTCTCTGGAAGAATATTATAAGTCGCATATTGAATAATCAAGGACAATAGACTTGCTCAGTATAGTAGCGATCAGGTAGGACGGCTTCTTTGCTCCTTTGAAGAACTGTGTTTGAAGGAGCTGTTCCGCAGTTGGCCTAGGAAGCAATGAGTGCGTTAAAAATGTCGTCGAAGCTTCCAAACACACCGTTGCGACGGTTCTTTGACGAGACAGCTTTCCAGCATTTCTTGAAAAGCGCGGGAGTACTTATATGTGCCACCATCCCGATCCAGTGTCGGAGGTGCCTCTTGAATGCTACGCTCTCATAGAAATAAGGATACTGATGAATGAAATGATATACACGCACGTTTTCAACAATACTTTTTGAGGTGACTCCCGGGACCTGGGTGGCCGACCTTGGGTAAGTTCGAGGGCGGTGATACCAAAGCTCCATATATCCGCAGAAGAGTCATAGTTCTTCCCCTGAATCAGCTCGGGTGCCATCCAGCATGGCTAGTGGCTCAATAAGTAAAGATACAGCTATAAATATCTTGCACGTACTGTACCAACAAAAGACTTCCGTTTTCCTATCTTTGGTCTTGAGTGTGTTGCGGTAGGTTCGACAAGAACGACACGTCTGGTGGAGCCATAGGAACTGTGTCCTGACGCCGCACTTCCTTGACTATCATGGGAACTATTCTGCTGACGCGGAGAGGCTACGTAGCGTGAGGACATGGTCTGTAATTTCGAAGTGCTCGGAGAATTGTCCTCAGCGAGGTTTGCAGCGACACCGAGATCACCTAAAAGGACCGTTCCATCGTCGTCGATTAATAGATTTGCTGCCTTGACGTCGCGATGAATGAATCCGTTGATGTGGAGATAGCTAAGGCGAAGAGTAAGTGGTGTGCGGGATAGCAGCAAGAGTGAAAGCGGCACTTGAGACCCAGGAGAGCTTGACGAAGGATGCAACGGATAACGTCTTCCTCCAGACCAGCAGGCCAGCCATAGTGCATGACGTCGGCGGCACTGCCTTTATTCATGAGCCGCAATGCGATGAAGAGCTTGTGGCCGTCCATCCATGAACCACGGACACGAAGAACGTTTGGATGCTTGGACAGGGACATCAGAGTTGTCTCGCGCTGCAGAAGTGACAGCGAATGAGGGGGAAGCGAGTCAAGATCCAGAACTTTGAGGGCGCATGGCATCGCCGACGAGGATCCTTGAGGCTTGTATTTTGCTGAGTAGACAATTGAAGATGCGCCGAATCCTATTGGAGAACCGATGGTGTAGTCCTCAGAACGATCACTACGAGCGAAATGAGCCAGTACTAGAGTACACGGACGAAATGCTCACCTGTACATGTCCCAGTGGTCCTCGACCGCGCCAATGAACGCCTGAGGCGCCATGTCCGGTCTCTTGGATGTCGGCGACATCGTAGGAACACCGCTCACGATAATGATGATGATCGTAATAACTTAAAACAGAGAAGCACTGCCGATGCACGTGGTTACGAACCGCCGGCTCAAGCGCCGACGTCGATGCGCCTTGCTCGTCGGACGCATCGTCGCGTCCAAGGCACCGATAACGCCCTGTTTACCAAAGCCCACCATTCTTGAGGACAATAACGAAAAAGGTGGAGCAAGGGTAACCGTTTTCACGCTCGGCATCGCCGCCACAGTGGCGTTTGGCAACAGTAGACAACGTCAGCTAAGCGCTGGCAGAGATTGCCACCATGGGATGATGACGTCCATATGCTAAGTTGCGATAAACCGGACACGAGGGCTACCCTGAGAGTAGTTATCAACTACGTAGAGATAACGAGCAATATCTCCAGCACAGTATTCAGATGCAGCATGAGCTGCTGGCTCCATTCAGGCAGCACCAGCACGTCCCAGAACATTCCACAAAAATCAATCAAGGCAATTGCAAGCGGCAGATGTCGAGTCAATAGTTTGTTGGCGCAGGGATACTCCTGTGGCGGTGCAGTGCCGGAAAATGCCGCCAATCACAGACATTCTGTTCCGGGAATACGCCACCGCTCAACATCCTCTCCGTCCATCTCACTCTACCCTCCGTCTCTCATTTCTCCCGGCTCCCTCCTCTGTGCTGTCGATGGCTCCACAGCAGCCTCCAGCCAGGTATTCATACGTCGAGACCTCTGCAGGACCAAAAATCCTTCCCGTAGAGGAGCCCTCGTGCAAGGATGAGGAGAGCCCAGCAGATTACAATGCAGGAGGATATTTACCTGTCAAACTCAGCGATACCTTCAAGAATAATAGGTATAAGGTTATAAGGAAGCTTGGGTGCGTATTCTTTGCCTTGGCTCCTTTTCAGTTTTCCTAATCTCGCGCAATCGACAGATGGGGTCATTTCTCGACTGTATGGCTCGTAAAAGACGCCCAGTAAGTATTTCTATCACGCTTAGTTTGCTCTTTTGTCACCACTTTCTCCTACAGTCTTCACCGTCACTCGGCTCTCAAGGTCGTCAAGTCTGCTGGGCGATACGCAGAAACAGCGAGAGACGAGATTAAACTCCTTTCTCGGGTCGCATCGTTTTCACCAACTCATGCAGGCCGCCAGCACGTCGTCTCCTTTCTCGACTCCTTTTCTCACCAAGGACCCGAGGCTTCCCATATCTGCATCGTATTTGAGCCTCTTGGCGAGAATCTGCTGGCGTTGATAGAACGTAACAAGAAGCATGGAGTGCCGCGAGCCCTCGTCAAGGTCATCGCCAAGCAAACTCTGCTCGGTCTCCAATATCTCCATGATGAATGCGACTTGGTTCACACCGACATAAAGCCGGAGAATATTCGTAAGTAGCTCGTCTAACGAGTCACTGTTATCATCGAGATACTGATTTAAACCCTTATAGTAATTTCTATCCCCGACATTGAAGCCCACATCTCCACCGAATTATCCCAATCTCCCTCCCCGACCTCTCGTCGGGTCGGTGTGCCTCTACCGTCTAATATCCGCTCGGGGTTTGCCATACGGAACCAACGGTCTACCCGTCGCTGCGTTCAAATATTTGACTCTCAGCCTCTCTCAAGTCCCTCACG